CTGGTGAAAAGATACTTGGACGAGCATCCTGTTGTGATAGAAGGCCTTGAAGACGTGCATCTACCTGACTCTCGTGATCTTCAGCGAGCGGCACGCAGAGCCCGTGCATCAGCTCCAGGACCTGACGGGCTGCCGTGCGATTCTCGGAGCTGCTGCGGGTCGTCGTGACCCCTGGAGGATCTGGCGCAGGTGGGCCTCGAGGTCGCGCAGGGCTTCCCGCCTCCTCCCGACCTCAATGACCACTTGATGATATTCCTGCCCAAAGGTGCCGAGGCTGACGATCTTGCCTCGGGCCCGACTCGGACGCCTTCCACGACGAGACCTCTGGCCCTCAAGAACACGGACGTGCAGCTGCTGGCTGCTAGCGTTAACCACCTCATCAAGCTCGACATCGAGCGCCACTCTCCCCTCTCTTAGAGGGGGTTCCTGCTTGGGCGCAACTTCCTGGGCAACATTACCCTGCTCGACACTGCGGCACGTCGGGTTGGCTTCTCCTCCACCAGGGACCAGCGCATGCTGATGATGGTCCTCTTCGGCTTCGGGAATGCGTTCCCCTCTCTGGCCGTGTCTTTCCTGCGCGCGGTGCTGCTGCGGACGGGCTTTCAGGGCGGCCTCTTCCAGCTCATCATGGGTGTGCACTGGCTGCCACAGGCCTACGTGCCCCTGCAGGGCGAGCTGCGCCGCTTCATGATGGTCACGGCGGGCGTTGCGCAGGGCTGCCCGCTCTCGGGGTCCCTGTGGGCTGTCGCCATGAACCCCTCCGTCGCACACATGGAGGAGATCCTGGTGAAATGGGGGACCTCCGTCGTGGGCGTCTGCGCCGACGATGTTGGCACGGTCGTGCAGGATCGCAGGCTTTTGCTCCGCTTTCGCAGGGTCTTCGTAGCGGCGCAGACCTTGGCAGGTCTGGCCCTCGAGCTGACCAAGTGCAAGGTGGTGCCCCTGAATGCCCCCTTCTCCGAGGAGCTGGCGAACAGCATCAAGGAGTGGCTCGCGCTGGAGCTGCCTGGCTGGGGGAAGATGGACGTCGCACCATTCGCCAAGTACCTCGGCTGCGTCCTGGGCCCAGGCGCCGCGATCGACGACGCGCGGCAGGAGGCGGGAGCCAAATGGATCCACCGCATCCGCGACCTTGCCCATGAGGGTGCGCCTGTACACCTCACGACGGTGATCTACGATTCGCGTGTGCTTACTGTCCTCAGTTACTTGATGCAGCTGATGCCGCTGCCCCGTGCGCTGGTCAGACGTGAGGCCTGGGCGTGGCACAAGCTCTGGCACCTGCCGCCCCAGTCGCTATCGCTGGCCGGGCTTCTCGGCATCGGGAGCTGGTCGTCTCTGCGGCCTGCCAGCTTACAGGTCCTCAGCTTGGCCGCGCGCATGCGCGCGGCCTTGGGCGCCGTGACCAACTGGTCGCCCTTGCTCGACACGCTGCGAGAGACCACACTCGCCTTCGGCAGCTTGGCGGAGATGGCCTCTGGCTGGTGGTCGCCATCGCTCTGGAGGACCAAGCCGATTGTGGTCCACCTTTCTGAGGCCAGCAGGGCCGCCTTCCCGCTTAAGGCTCATGCCTCTGACGCCCGCACTGCCCTCGATGCCCTCTCCGAAGCCTCGAGACAGGGGCGCGTGAGAGTGCAGAGATCTCTCTCCTCTTCCTTACTCCTCTCCCTCTACCCCGACGTCCTCCACCTCGCCCTTGCCGAACGCCCGGCCTCTTGGGGGCTCCCTTTTTTCGGGATCTTCTCGGGGTGCCCTCAGAGATCTCATCCGAAACGGAGGTCCACCAGCCTGGCAGAGTGCGGTCATAAAGACGATTGTAGGAGGTTGGCTCACGAGTGCGCGACTGCACTCATCTGAGATTGGCATGTGTAGATTCCAGTGCGCCCAGAGCCGTGACGACATGTTTCATTACATCCATTGCCCTGTTTTGTGGAGGCTTGTATACCATCCCGATTTGCCTCCTGACTGCCCCGCTACGCGTCTCGGGCTCGATGGTCAACCTACGCCTGAGATCGTCGAGAGAGTTGTGCGGGCCTTTCATATATATATATATATAATGTTGTACGCACCGCCCCTGATCCTGGCCCCCTCGACAGTGAGGAGGCTCTCGGGAGGCATCATTACAATATACGGCGCGCTGCGCAGATCCTTGTAGAGCACTCCCGAGCGCCCTTCTAGGTCTGTCTGGTGGCTCCGTCTGGACTCTTCAGGGCACGAGTGACATGCCTTACAGACCGCCGCCCATGTATTGCAAGACCCGGCAATCGACCCGACCCCGCCCCAAAGTATACAAGACCGATCACAGCAGGCTCGCCCGATCAAAAATAAACCAGACACCGCCCAAAGTAAATCAGACCACCCATCACAGCGGGCTAGGCCACCCCGAACCAGACCACCTGTCACAGCTGGCGAGACCACTCAATAGCACAGCAGTCCCGACCCAAAAGTAGACCAAACCACCCACCAAAGCAATGCAGGCCTCTCGAGAGCAGTCGAAACCTCGGCCGAAAGTAAACCAGACCACCATTCACTGCAGGCTAGACCGCCCCAGAGTAGAGCGGGTTCCGCCAAAAAGTAAACCTTACCACCCATCAAAGCACGCCAGGCCATCCAATAGCAGACCGGACTCCGCCCACAAGTAAACCAAACCACCCACCGCAGCAAGTTGGGTCTCCCGAAAGTCGACCCGAGCCCGCCCAGAAGAAAACAAGACTACCAATCGCAGCAGGCTGGACCGCCCAAAAGTAGAGCAGACCCCGCCCAAAAGTAAACCAAACCACTCGCCCCAACAGGCCTGACCACCCAATAGTAGTCCAGACCCCGCCCAATAGTAAACCAGACCGCCCATTACGTCAGGCTAGGCCTCCCGCGAGTAATTACACCGACCCCGCCCAAAATCTAACCAGACCGCCGATGCAAGCGAGTTAGACCGCCGAAAGGCAGACCAGACCTGTCCCAAAAGAAAACCAGACAACGCGTCAAAGCAAGCCAAATCACCCAAAAGCTGACCCGACCCCGCCCAAAAGTAAACCCGACCAGCAGTCGAAGCAAGCCAGGCCACCCAGCAAAGCAAGGCAGGCCCCGCCCGAAAGTGCCAGACCACGCATCGCAGCAAGCTGGACCCCAGCACCGTACTTCGCAATACGTACTCGTGTCCGTCCGCGGATGAAGGGGCCGCCCGACGCAGTTGATCGTCTCAAGGTCCAAGTGCAGGCAAAGAGGCGCGCGCGCGCGCCTCTTGCTTTATTCGCCCCATGGCGCCGCAGCACGACGGCGCACTTGCTCACATGACGACCGCAATATCGTCAGTGCCGATGTTGTGTTTTGCGTTTTCAGTCTCGGGGAGCGTCAAACAAATTGTTCTGGATGTATCCGCCCCCCTCTATGGGAAGTCACCAGGGCAGACAGGGACTCCGCATTCGAAACAGTTGGCGACGCTTTTTATTGTGCTTTTCTCGGTTGTGGGACCGCCCCGTAAATGCAAGCGCTGTTTGGGGAATGGGAGTGGCTCCGCACGAAGAGCGACACCGAGGTCCGGAAGAACAGGTTCCGTCGCCATGTGGCGCTGGGCCACGATCGGCCTCTGAGCCGGGATCTCTCCGCGTGGGCCCCGGGCGCCGGCGGAGTGGCGGCCGGGCCCGCGCGAGCCCGTCGTCAGCCAGGCCTCGTCGTCTGCCAACAAGACCTAAGTACTCCCTCCTCCCTGGCCTCCTGATCCTCCTCCTCCTCCTCCTCCTCCTCCTCCTCATCCATCCTTCTTCCTGCAAAACCGGGGGAACAAACAGTGACAGAAGCATCAAAACTCGGAGGTCCGCGCGGATTTTGCGGATCGGAGCTGGAGCCCCCCGGCGGCGCCTCTGGCGCCGCCCTTGGCGCGCTCCGCGCGCCAGGGAGGGGGATCCAGCGCTGATCCGAGAATTCCGCGCGGACCTCCGAGTTTTTATGTTCATATAACTTTTCGCTCCTCCAGACGTGTCGCACGGCGGGCAGGCTGGTTTCGCTCGAGATAGGCTCTCATGACTTGCAAGATTGAGACTGGAGTGTTTCAACATCTGTGCGGGTGGAGGGAGAATCGTTTTCAAAGCTGGGGGCCTCGCTTTGGCGCCGCGCCGCGCCGCGCCCACCGTCCAACAGTTACGCGGAGATGGAGAGGGAATCGTTTTCAAACTTGGGTTATTTCTCTGGCGCTGCATGCGCTGCACACGCACAGTAGTTACAAGGATTGAGGACGGATCCTTTCCTTAAGGGGTCTCTCGCCCAATCTTTGTTCAACATCCGTCACTTCAGCAGCAGAGTTGTGCCACGGGTACACGGGTGGAGAGCGGTTCTCTTCCTCAAGATTCCGGTATCGTTTGAGATTTCGTTTGATTGCATTGCCGGAAGTCGAAGCTTGTAACACCGTTGCTCAAATGGGGGGCGCTCAGTTCAAGTGTTTTGCCAGATATTTCCTTGAATTTTATAGCCCACTTTGTATCATTCATTCCTTCTAGCTCGAAGGACGGACGGCAGCTTGTTTCAAAACGGAACTCCCGCCTGATCGCGGGCCCGAGGGGCGTTCGTCTTTCAATCGGGGGCGCGTCGCGCAGGGAGGCTTAAGTCTGTAGGGACTCATCAGGAGGGAACCTGGGACGGGTGTGTTTGTGTGTACTGCAGCATCGCTCATGCATTTTCAGTGTATTCTGGTCCTCCCCCTCCTCCACGCCAGCTCCTCGCTGCAGGGGCGCTGGGCAATCTGCTCCCCGACGCGGGGCCTCCTCATCCTCCTCCCCCTCCCCGCCCTCGCTCGCGTCGCTCTCTGCACACACCTCAATCTGCCTTGCCGCAGGCCGCCCTGGCGCAGGCTGCCCTGCCGCGCCCTGCCACGGACCTTCCGCTTGTCCCAATGGTCCCAGGGGCCCACAGAAGCTCCGGGGGGCACCTCAGGACCCGCAAACATCGACGAAGAATGAGCCCCACAGCTTCGTGCTTCTTCGCGTGTGTCTGCCCAGCGCCGCGACCGCCAGGTGGAGGACCCCGGCCGCGTGGCCCTGGTCGCGAACCGCATCGGCTCCCTGACCGCGGGCCTCAACGGGTCCCGGGAGCGGCTGCAGGCCCTGCTGACCATCGGGCTGGCCGGGCTGGGCGTGGAGCCCGGCGTGTCGAAGAGGGGGCCGGGGGGAGGCGGCGGGGTGGGGGGGAGGGAAGGGGGGAAAGGGAAAACGGGGGGGGAGGAAGGGGGGGAGGGTACAATGAGGACGAGGAGCATACCGCCCGCCCGAGGCGATCGATCATCCGGCGTGTCCGTCATAGTTTTTCGGCGATCGTTTGGATAGGGTAGTGCGTGCTTGCACTGCGGGCCTGTTCTCGCAAATCACGGGGTCCCAGAAGGAGAAAGGAAGGAAAGCAGGAAGGAAGGGAGGGAAGGAGGGAGGAGGAGAGGCGGCGCTGCACCACATAAAATCCACCACATATGTTGCGCAACGTATATTGCATCAGATCGACTGCTCCACGTATGTGTTGTACCACGTAGATACTCCTGTTTAGAAGAAATAATAGACTCTACCCCCTCCCGGAATGAACGATCCACTTTTTCATATTGCAGTTTTCATATGATTCTGCCCCATCGTCCAATGTAAACATGAATTCGTATTATCCCAGCCAAACTGGTATCACTCCCCCCCGCTATCCTCTGCAAAACATACAATGCGCGCACTCTCGCTGATCAAAAATCATCATTAAATTTTCGAAAATCCCTTGCAAAAAATGGGACGCAGTGCAGACGCGCGCGTCGTCGCGCGCGCATGCCGAAATCCTTCAAAAACCTTCGGTTCCGGAAGGATTTCGAAATCGTGTGTCCCAAAAAACATACAGAAACGCAGGGTTTCGCAGCAGTAATTTCCTAAAAAGCTTACGCGCGCGTTCTTGCGGCATCTTATCAAAACCATAGGTTTTTTAACGCTTTCAAAAATTACTACCAAACGGGCTTCGCGCGCGCATGTCGAAATCTTTCGAATGCCCCTGCGCGCGTGCCGTCGCGAGAACCCTCTTGCAAAATGTGGGACGAGGTGCAGACGCGCGCGTCGTCGCGCGCGCATGCCGAAACCCATCAAACAACTTCGATGCCGGAAGGATTTCAACATCGCTTGTTCAAAGAACTTACAATATCACATGGTTTTGCAACACGGATGTTCAACAAAAGCGTACGCGCGCGTTCTTGCGTCGTCGTCGTCGTCGTCGCCGTCCTCCCTCCTCCCTCGTCGTCGTCGTCGCCGTCGTCGTCCTCTGTCTTTCCTCGTCGTCGTCGTCGTCGTCGTCTTGTCGTCGTCGTTGTTTCCGTCGTCGTTGTCGCCGTGGTCGTCTTTCCTCTTCCCTCGACGTCGTCGTCCGTCGTCGGCGTCTCGTCGTCGTCCCTCCTACTTCGTCGCCGTCGTCGTCGTCGTCGTCGTCTTCCCTCCTCCCTCGTCGTTGTCGTGGTCGGCGTCGCCGTCCTCCCTCCTTCTTCGTCGTTCGCGTCGTCGCCGTCCTCCCTCCTCCCTCGTCGTCGTTCCGTTGTCGCGGTCGTCGTCCTCCCTCCTCCTTCGTTGTCGTCGTCTTCGTTGGTGGCGTCGTTGTCGTCGTCGTCGTCGGCGTCGTCGTCGTCGTCGTCGGCGGCGGCGTCATCGGCGTCGTCGTCGTCGGCATTGTCATCGTCGTCGGCGGCGTCGTCGTCGTTGTCGCTGTCGTCGTCGTCGTCGAAGTCGTTGGAGACGCCATCGGTGTTGTCGTAGTCGGTGTCGACGGCGTTGTCGTCGTCGTTGTCGCTGTCGTCGTCGGCGTCAGTGTCGTTGCCAAGTGCCATTTGCTCCCCACCGTCACGGTCTTAAGAGGTCTTGCGACCAAGTTGCGGGTGGGAGGGTGGGATGTTTGCACGAACAGTGGAGAGGACAGCTTCGAGGCAGTCAAAGTGAGTTGCACCATTTACATTTCACAGCATACGTTGCACAACGTGGATTACGCTACATCGATTGCACCGCGCAGGCGGCACAGCATAAGAGTGCACTAGACACATTGCACAACACATATTGCATCACATATTGCACCACCTGGGTAGCTCAACAATCATTGCACAACCGATGTCGCATTACACAGGTTGCACAACACATAGAATTGATCACAGATCTTGCACCACACGGATCTGCACCACATAGGCCGCATTACATCAGTTGCCTTACATCGATTGCATAAGACATACTGCTACAAATGCACTGTTTGGAGTCCATGCTGGCTGACATCTATCAGGGAGGGAAACATTCTCAGACACAATTAGTCGTCGACCCACAGAAAAATAAAGAAAATATGGGAAGTGGGGGAAACGGAAATTCAGAAAATATGAGAAGTTGTGAGGAACATATGGATTTGCGTGTATTTCTTTGTGTGTCCCTCGGCCCTTTCCAGTAGAATCCTACCACCTCGTCGCCGTCTTGATAGCCTGGACGCATGGGTGGCAGCTCCCGTTCAAAAACGGGGCTCTCGCCTGCATTGCAGGACCATAGGGGTGCTCGTCTTTTTCGGGGGGCACTTCCCCGCAGTTGCGAGTAAATCGTTGGATTGGCGATTCCGGAGGGGACCTGGCGCGGGAGGAGGGCATATTGAAGCATCGTTGGTTCGTCTTGAGTTTGTTCTGGTTCTCCTCCTCCTCCCCGCATTCCCGATCTCTGCCTGTGCGTAGCGTCGGGTCAAATGGGAGGCAGAGTTGCACGAGCTTGGGTTCTCTGATGCAGAGGACTGGCTCCTACAGTCAACCCGCATAGTAAGGATGGGCAACCTTCCCAAGGGTACCCTTTCATCCTTGCCTCCTCGGTCCATCCTTGGTCGCCTTCGTTGGCCGCGCCCCGCTCGCAAAGTGTCAACATGGCCTTCCAAGGCCCTTGCATCTTTATCGCGCATCCTTATGATCCGGGCCGACTGTCTTCTCATAGCTTCCCCGCATCCCCCCCTCTCTCCCTCCTCCTCCCCCCATCTTCATCTGCTCTTTCTATCTTCCCCCTCCTTGCCCTACCTGCTGCCTCCCCCTGCCCCCCTTCCATTTTCCTGCAATTGACACTGTCGATTATGCATACCAGTCCTCCCTGCGGCTGCGCGTCTTCCCGGGTGTCCCGGGTGCTCCGGGTGCGGGTGTCGCGGGTGTCCCGGGTGTCCCGGGTGTCCCGGGTGTTCCGGGTGTCCCGGGTGTTCCTGGTGTCCTGGGTGTCCCTGGTGTCCCGGGTGTCCCGGGTGTCCCGGGTGTCCCGGGTGTCCCGGGTGTCCCGGGTGTCCCGGGTGTCCCGGGCCCGGGTGTCCCGGGTGTCCCGGGGGTCCCCGGTGCCCCGGGTGTCCCGGGTGTCCCGGGTGTCCCGGGTGTCCCGGGTGTCCCGGGTGTCCCCGGTGTCCCGGGTGTCCCGGGGCCGGGTGTCCCGGGTGTCCGGGGTGTTTTGGGGCCGGGTGTCCCGGGTGTCCCGGGTTTGCCGGGTGCCCTGGGTGTTCCAGGTGCTCACGGTGCTCTGGGTGCTCTGGCCAGATGGGTGTTTTGGGTGCTCCCAGTGTGCTCGGTGATCACGATTCCACACGGGATGCACGGCCCACACGGGACGATGCACGGCACCGCAACGAAGGCCGCCATCTCGCGCAAAACGGGAAGGGGGTGAGGAGGAAGACGGCGACTCACTACGCCACTGCAGCAACGAAGGCGGAACTGAGGCAAAGAAGACGGGGGGGGCGCACATACATGAAAGACAAGACGGGGCACTCTGTGGGGAAGAACGACGCTGTGCAGACACAAATGGCGAGGCCGAAGGCCGGGAATATCACTTTTCTCCCGCGCGCCGCTCATAACGTGTCTCTGCCAAGTCCAAGGAGGCATCGTCGCAAGTCCGACGCGGCTGGCAGGACGAGCTGCTGAGCCCCCTCGCCGGAAAGGACATCTTTAAAAACATCGCGAGCCAAGGAAGAGCGCCGCCGGGCGCCCTCATGCATCCACTTGCCTACTGATATTGTGCGATGGGCGCCCTCTGAGGGCTCCGCGCGGCCACCGCGCGCTCCCTCTGCTTTTTGGCCAACCACTCGGCGTTGACCACGGCGGCCATCTCATGCAGGAGGAATGCGCCAGTCAGGCGGTTCATGGCACGCACGACGAACTTGTGCCTGCCGGTCGGACCAAATAGCTGTTCGCACGCTTGGCTGTTGTGCCCCTCTATGTACTCTTTGTTGCACTCTGCCTTCGGTGAGCAGTTCGCCAAGCACCGCGGGTCGACGTGGTTCCTGTCGCGTAGCCCATCCGTGATGCATTGCTGATTCGGGTGCGCCATCCTGCCAGCCAGGGGGCCGTCATCCTTGCGCTTGGATGTGTACCTCCGCAGGTGGCAAGCATCATCGTGCCTGACCACATGGATGGCGGGCGCTTTCTCCACCAGCTCAGCAAGGAAGAAATATCGTTGCGGTAAGCTTTCCGAACCGACGTATTCCTTCAGGTGGAGAATGCATCCCTCTGGGGTGCATGCGTAGAGCCAACCGCGTCGCTTCCCCCCGCGGCGGGTCGCCTTCCCACGCGTCTTCTCCTTGTGCGTCTTGCACGACGCTGCCGTCAGATCCGCCTCTGGCGACGCGGTCGGGACATGCGCGCCGCTGCCGACCTTGCTCCAGTAGTCTTGCAGCTGCCCCGCCGTCACGTTGCAGGCTGCCGTGCAACGCTGCCTAAAACGCCGGTCTGGCTGCCCGCGCTCGTCTACACATGCTAAACACACATCGTAAGGCTCAGCGCTTGCGCTCGACTCCAACAGCCGCCGCCTGCGATGACCAACGATAGTTTCTGACTGCGGCGGCCCAGCAGCGTCCCCAAGGTCCCGAATCTGGTGCTTTGAGCAGCATTTCCGCCCGAACGACGGCTTCTCGGAGCACTGGGTCGCAGTGCACTTGCCCAGCGGCGAGCACTGCGTGAGCTCAGCCACGTCCCGGCCGCAAATCCGCCGCGCCAACTTGGCGTTCCCGTCGATGACTACCACGGAGGGGGTAATGCCGTTATCGGTAAGTCCTCGCAGCCGTTCTTGGTACATGGAATCCGGGTACCACGTCCAGATATCCTCCAAGAGGCCTGTGGTGGGCAAAGCCAGATTCAGGCCGCCCAAATCGGACCTGTGCTGGTACGCTCGAACGACTACGCGCCATGCGACCCAAGCTTTCTCTAACTTCAAGTCCGCTCTGTTCGGCACTCTGTCAAGATCCCCCACGCGGGCAGCTTCGCGCTCGCGGGCGACAGCTTCACTTTGGAAGGACACGCGCTGTCGCGCCAAACGCTCTGCAAATTGCCGCAACCACGCCGTGGGCACGCCCCAGCTGTTCGTCACGAAGAAGTAGTCCATCTTGTCAGAAGGGTCCCAGCGCCACATGTGTTTCTCTTTGGTGTCCGACACGTAGTTGTACCACACTCGTTTCCATGCATCTCGCAACCGCGACGCATGCATCTTAGTGGCGCGTGTTGTCGCAACTCCCACCCGCCCACAGTCAGAATACTAGCTGTTACCGCTTCCGAGTGGCAGATGGAAGTCATGGGTCCTCTACAATGGCCGCGCGTCCTCCTCGGGTGCACTATGGTGTCCCCTGTTTGCAGCTCCATTGCCAATTCGTACAGTTCTGGGTGCTAATCGGTGCGCCTCGCAAGCAGGACAGGATAGCGGCGCAATGCTCGCACCTGCCTCGCCTTTTGAGCCTACACCGTTGTGCCAATGCACAATGCAGATGCGGGTGGGATGCGGTCGCGGAGGAGTGGGAAAGGGCGGGGGCTCCGAGTGCGATGTGAGGAGCCCCAAGATGGCCCAAGAGAGCCCCAAAAGGGGCCCAAGAGGGCCCCAAGAGCGGCCCAAGAGAGCCCCAACACGCCCTTTTTGAGCCTCCGAGGGGAGGAGCTGAATTTAGGGCCCCCCCCTCTGTCGAGCTATGGGGCCCAAGACGTCCACAAGAGACCTCTCAGACCCCCCCCCCAAAAGACCCCCAAGAGGGCCCCCAAAGAGCCCCGAGAGGGCCTCGAGAGGGCCCCAAGAAGACCCCAAGAGGACCCCAATAGAGCCCCAAGATGACTCCAAGAGACCTCCGAGAACCTCTCACAACAACACCTCAACTCGCCTGGGCATCGTTGTTGGATGGGCTGGTGGGGGCGCGCGAAGCGTCAAGGGTTTTTCTTTCGCTGCTTTATAGCTCTTCCGCTATTCGCGCCGATGGCGCGCGTGCCCTGAGGGCCGTGCTTTTCCGAGGTCCTCGAATGGAGGATTGCTGTGGGCGGCGCAGGCGGTCGCCAAGTCGCACGAGCTGGAGACGCCAGTGCGACGGTGGCCCCACGCGCCACCGCTCCTCAAAATGCGGCGCTTATGCTGTGTCCGCTGGTGGCGCGTGGGCGCCCGCGTGCCGATGGGGCCTCGCCCCCGCGCGGCCCCGCGCAACGCTGCCGCCTCGCTCGCCACGCACCTGGCGCGATCACCACTCACCAGGGGCCTGGGAAGGGCGCGCAGACGAACGCGGTCGAGGAGCTACCATTGCGCCGTTGTTGTTGGTGCCGCCGCGGCGCGCAGACAGACCCGGAGCTGCCGCGGCCCCTGCCGCAGCGTACGCACCGCTGCCGGCCAAGGCGTTCCCAGGGCCACTGGCTGTGCGCGGCCGCGAGGCGGCGGGGGCCCTACCAGCGGGCTCCGCATCGGGTTTCCGCATATTCCCAGCCTTGGTCGCAATGGCTTCAATGAGCGTTTGGAGGGAGACGCCGCAAAGCATCATCAGGCGATTGTGATACCCCTTCTTGAGGTCGGCGCCTTACGTGCCCATAAACCGTGCACGTCGAGAGCGCCGCGGACCTGCATCCTCGAAGGGTCTGGATGATCCACCGCCCCTAGCTTGACCCGCAACGGCTGGCATACGAATGGGAAATGGCAGGTTGTTCCCATACCCTCAGACTAGAAGGGGCCTTGAAGCCAGCCGCGTGCTTCCACGCATCCGCGGATCTGCGGATTTTGCTCGACCACGCTGCTGGTGGACACACCAGCCTCCAGAGGCAAGCCAATTCTACAGATCGGAAAACGTTTCTTCCACACTTAACAAGAACATATGTAGAAACAAAACGCAAATTCTACACTTGAAGACAGCATTTGTGGAAGGGCAGAACGCCAACTGCTTCCGCACATCACAAGATTACCTGTATAAGCAAAGCGAATTCTACACTTGAAGACAACATGTGTGGAAGGGCAAAACGCCCACTGTTTCCACACATCGCAAGAGCACCTGTAGAAACAAAACAAGTTCTACACGTGAAGACAACATCAGTGGAAGGGCAAGCCCCCAAGGAACGTAGATTTACACATCCGGGCATCTGTGGAATCCATTGGCTCCCCGATGGTCAGTTTTCTAAACAGAGGCGATCTGAGGCCCTCCTACCAACCTCTCGGAGGAGGACGAAGGCGGGGGGGAGGTGGGAGACGAGGAGGAACAGGAAGACAAAGGACGACGGGGGGACGAAGGATGATGACGGAAGAGGAAAAGGAGCACAAAGATGAGATCGGAGGAGTCGGAAGCCCGGTTCATTCCTCATCTTGACGCTTGAGTTCATCACTCGCCACACACACACACACACTCCTTATCCCGTGTTGCTGCTGCTGCTGCTCCTCGTCCTCCTCCTCCTCCGCCTCCTCCTCCTGTTCTGCATCCTCCTCCTCCTCTTCCTCGTCCTCATCATCATCATCATCCTCCCCTTCCTCCTCCCCCTCCGCATCCACACATTCCTCCTCCGATCCTCCTCCGATCCTCCTCCTCCTCCTCCTCCTCCTCCTCCTCCTCCGCTTCCTCCTCCTCCTCCTCCTCCTCCTCTTCCTCCTCTTCCTCTTCCTCCTCCTGCTCCTCCTCCTCCTCCTCCTCTTCCTCCTCCTCCTGCTCCTGCTCCTGCTCCTCCTCCTCCTCCTCCTCCTCCTCCTCCTCCTCCTCCTCGTCGTAATGTCCTGATTGCTCAGGGTGCTCCGCGGGTGCTCCGGGTGCTCCGGGTGCACCGGGTGCACCGGGGTCTGCTGGTGTCCCGCGGGTGTCCCGGGTGTCCCGGGTGTCCCGGGTGCCCCGGGGGTGGCCCGGGTGCCGTGCTCTGGGTGCTCCGGGTGTCCCGGGTGTCCCGGGTGTCCTGGGTGTCCCGGGTGTCCCGGGAGCTCTGGGTGTCCCGGGTGTCCCGGGTGTCCCGGGTGTCCCGGGTGTCCTGGGTGTCCCGGGTGTCCCAGGTGCTCTGGGTGTCCCGGGTGTCCCGGGTGTCCCGGGTGTCTTGGGTGTCCCGGGTGCCCCGGGTGCCCCGGGTGCCCTGGGTGTCCCGGGTGTCCCGTGTGTCCCGGGAGTCCCGGGTGGCCCGGGTGTCCCGGGTGTCCCGGGTGTCCCGGGTGTCCCGGGTGAAGCCGGAGAGGAGACTCGCCTCCGATTATGAGGAAAATCCTGGAGGCCTCGCGAGGCGCGTAATAGTTGTATTATCTAGTCCACACGTCTGCTCCGTAAGCTATGTGTCGACGCTCGCGCGGCGATACTCCGGCGTCAGTCCGACGTAAGTCTGACGCAATTCCAACGTAGTCCGACGTGATCCCGACTCAAATCCGACGTGAATCCGACGCAAATCGGGTCTCAAGTTGCCGCGCGAGGCCCC